CCCAATCCTTGTTATTGATACATTCCTCTGAGATGTGCTCCTTGTTGGGGTGGCTTTTATGTTGTTTTTACTCTTGGATAATTTGGGGAAAATTATTTGGCACTTTCATAAATCAGGAGATGGTTTTTGGCATAAATTTTAAATTAAAAGAAAATCTGAAATCTGATATGGGTGTTGATTTTTCTAGTTGGTTGTTGTTTCCAATGATAACTTTTCACTGTTATTGGCATTGGCTAATTTTGAGAGTCCTTTTGATATCTCTTGGTGTCAGGCTGAGGTAGGATCTCTAATTCGTATTTTATTGTTGTCTTAACGTTTTTTATTGGAAGAAGTGCCCTCCATTCTGTGCTTTCTTGTTTTTGGTTCTTCTACAGACAAAAATGATTTGGAAATTTCTAACATCTTTCTAACTTGGCTCTTGCCAGGTTGCGAGAGTATTGCATTTAGTGTACAGGTTGGTGGTGCAACCAAATACTTCTAGAGCTCATACTTTTGCTGAGGCTTTCATAGCATGTGGTGGAATAGAGACACTTCTTGTTCTCTTACAGCGAGAAGTCAAAGCTGGCGATGTCACTGATCCGGAAGCTATGACAATTCATGAATCTTCATTTTTCCAGGAATCTGGTGTTGACAGTGGGGATGGAGTCTCCGAGAGAATCCTTGATGGTGATGTAGGATCTGTGGAAGAACAGAAACCAAATGTGTCTGAGAAAGATTGGCAATTTGAATCAACTGAAATTGGTGGTGTGAGACGCTTTTCTTCTGCTTCTGGTGTGAGAATTGAGAGGACGCTATCTATTTCTGAGAATTATTTTGTCAAGAATTTAGGTGGCATAAGTCTTTCAATTACGGCTGACAATGCAAGAAATAACGTTTACAATGTGGACAAAAGGGATGGAATTGTTGTTGGGATCATTGGACTTGTAGGTGCTCTAGTAGCATCAGGCCATTTGAAATTTGATTCTTTTTCTCCTTCAGATGCAACGACTAACATTTTGGGTAGTGGGCTTCATGATGGAGGTAGTAGCATGTTTGATGATAAAGTTTCACTGCTACTGTATGCTCTTCAGAAGGCTTTCCAAGCAGCACCTAATAAGCTTATGACGAACAACGTGTACACAGCTTTGATGGGGGCATCGGTATATTATCTTGTTTTATGTCTAAATAATTCATACCTTCCTAATAAACTCCAAAAAGTGAACTCTATGAATGTGTCTTCCATGCTTTCTTGTGCAAGTGTGAGACAAAGGTACAACTGGAGTGGGGGATTAGAGTCTTTCCTGTTTCTTTTAAGATAGACTTATTTAGATCACCTAATTGGTTTAATATATATTTTTTTCTATGTCATACATTTGTATATATCATCTCATGCTCCCTCATTGACCTACCTTTTAATTCAATGTCTATTTTGGTTGGAACTCTTGCCTAAAAATTGTATTTTGCACTCGTTTCATTTTTACCTTTGTTGAAAATGTTTTTTTTAATCTCTAGGAAAGAAGTTTATGAAATTAATTACAAGACATTAGCATTTTTTGGTGGGTAAGAAATAACGGGAAATCATATGAAATATGAAGAAAACTAATAGATATTTTGTGAACCAAGGTGCCAAGTATCTGCAAAGAAATAAAAGAAATGTGTTCTCATGCCTATGTGCTTTTTGCATTATCTCATGTCCATGACTTCACTTTCTTGAGTGAGCATCTTCAAATATTTTATGACATTTCTAATAATTGTTACTTCTGAAAAGATCAATTCAAAATTGCCTAGTTCCTTTTCTTTTTTCCAGATTAATGCTTCTTCAACTGAAGACGGGCTAAACTTTTATGATTCTGGTCATCGCTTTGAACACCTACAACTACTGTTGGTTCTTTTACGCTCACTTCCCTATGCATCCAAGGCTTTCCAATCCCGAGCATTGCAGGTATGCCCAATGATAATTTGGTGTTGTGGTTATTTTTTTTGTTACATGCTACAAACTCTATTATTCAAGAGCTGTAATGAATATGATTTCTTATCTTCTTGTTTGTTCATCCTTTTAAAACTGGAAATTCTTTTTTGGAACTTTTGGTAATGGGATGGACGATAGCCTTCTCCATCATTATGTTTTGTGTCGTTATTCATCATACTACATAGCCTCTCATCCATAAAACGTAAAAGGTATCGTGTAAGGAAATTTGTGTGGCATAGATTTGGTGCAGAACTGGAATCTATCCATGTACATTAAAAACTTTTCCTTTTTCTTTTTGGTTGGCTATGGCAATATTGTCATTGATGTAATGAAAAGTAGTAAAATTTGTGTTAGTTTGAATGAAATAGATTACAAATAGACCAGTTGTTTGTTCATAATTAGTTAGGTTTAGGACAGTTGGCTGATCGTTTAGATATTGTGGTCGATCGATTGACAAATCTAATAACCAACCCAACCTCTTAATAGCCAAGTAACTTACCATTTTCCGAAGATAAGAACTTAAGAATACAACTAAGAGGCGACAGCATCATTCATTGTCCACCTTAGTAGTTGTTATAGTCGATATTCTTTGGTTTTAATTATTATTTTTATGTTTGAAAAAACTGAGAAGCCAAACTTTTATTGTGGAAAAAATGAAAGAATATACGAGAACAAAGAAAAGGGATGTATCAACCCAGGCCAACAATAAAGATGGGCCTACACAAGGGTAACTGAAAAAGGAGCCAAACTAAACTGGATAGATAAGAAATGGCTATTTATACCTGAATTCACATGATTTAAAAGATTTTAAGGCAAATTCAACCGATGAAAATTTCAAGAGTTCTCTATCACTCCTTATTCTAGACTTTCTAGTACAGCCAAGAATACTCCCATCTACTCGTGATTTTCCTTATATACTCTGATCCTACATTTCCCGGATGTCTCCCCCATCAGTCACTGACTAGCCTAACTGAATGCATCAAATTACTAAAGCAAGTTAATTTCCCCCCCAACGCATGCACGTTTCCTACTGTATACATCAATAATTGAGATCTATCAATGTGCTTATGTAAAGGCAACAGAAGTGTTTGATTTCAGATTCTCAGTTCAAATTTAACTGATTTATTGTTGATGTTTCTATTGATTATCTGTTGTAGTTTCTGAACTTTTTGGTATATGATTCCAGGATCTTCTGTTTTTGGCTTGCAGTCATCCAGAAAACAGGAACAGTTTAACCAAAATGGAAGAATGGCCTGAGTGGATTCTGGAGATTTTGATTTCCAACTATGAGGTAAGGTTATCTGATGTAAGTTTAAAATTTGTAAATTTTATTCTGGTAGATGAATGGCAGTACATGTAAGCAGTAATAAACTTGTATTTCTGGGAATCTTATCCTGCTTGTTCGTTGAAGGCAGTGAATGGTCCTTTTATCGTATTTTATTTTTCATTTCTGGCTCATTCTTTTGCAGATGGGAGAGAGCAAAAATTCTCAGACTGTAACTGTAGGAGACGTGGAAGATCTCATACATAATTTTCTGATCATCATGTTAGAGCACTCAATGCGCCAGAAGGATGGATGGAAGGTAAAATTTTATTTTTCCATTCTTTCACATAAAACTGGTTCCATTTTATTGCAGGGGACAAAAATTACACAAAAAGGGTGACAGGGAATCAACCGACCAGCCAAGATAATTACAAAAAACTTCTCCATGTGGCATTGATAAAAAAGGGATCATCATTAAAAAATAACTTAGCAGTTGAGCTCCACAAAAAATATTTATAACGAATTACCTCCCGAGCCTCTTTCTCATCTCTAGCCTTGTTAATAAGAACACAAAAGTCTTGTTCAATTGCCGTTCTATGTCATAATTTGAAAATAACTTAACTGTTGAGCTCCACAAAAGAAGCTTTATAACCAATGACCTTCCAAACCACTTTCTCATCTTTAGCCTTGTTAATAAAAATACAAATGGCTCCTTCGATTTGTGTTGATGAAATTGAAAAATTATAAGTAGAAGATAACTTACCTGTCAAGCTCCACAAAAAAGCTTTATAATGAATGAAATGACCTCCCACTCCTTAAATGTTATCTTTCAAGCTAAATCTCCCTAACCTTTGAGAACATTCTCCCGGAGAATTCTGTCTTCCCTTTTAAAAAAGTGACCCAAAAGTAGCTGAGATAGTGATTTCCGGATGGTATAGGAGAAGCACCAACGCATACCAAAACAATCCAACAGTATGCTCAAATATTTGGGCCATGGGGCTAAGGGAAAAAAAACGTGGCTCTATGTTTGTGGGTTTAGGAGATAATTCTTCTGATTGTCAAGCATATACAGTGACAATTAGGGAGATAAAGGCTGGTCAAAATTTATCCTTCGAATAACGCGCGAGCTGATGTGGACGAAGCGGAATTGAGAATATCGACTTGAGTAATGCAAACATTGGTGAGAATCCAATACCTAAAAACCAAAGGGTTCCTCCGCAATTATCAATATCGTCACTATCATCAATAAGAAAACCCTTAGGCTTGTTCAGAATTATTGTATTGAAAGGAAGATGTTTGTTGGTTGATATTTGACCAAATAGGATTGTCCGGTTCCTATAAAACCTATCACTAAAATACCCCTATGAGCTCGTGAAACCTTTATGGTCAAGCATATTCAATCCTGAACTTTTTCTTTTCCTCTTTTCCCTTCCCCGATTTCGCGAGGTATAGCATATGTCCCTTCCCCGATTTCATGAGGTATATAATATTCTTTCTCCTTCACCTATTTGTTCTCGAACGGTAAACAAGATTATTGTGTGTGGGTTTTACAGGTGGCTGAGTATTTATTTGATAAGGGCTTATTTGATTTAATTGTACCACATAATCCTTTAAAGGGTGTTTTGAGTGAGTACAAGGAGGAAGCCAATCCCACCAACTTGAATGACTTTTATTAGTATACCCTTAGCTTTTAATACGGATGAAGGAGCTCAACAAACGTGGCCGGGCTGCTCATGAGAGAATTTGGAAAATCTTTTCAAGCAGTTTCAGATGTAAGATCTTGGTCCTCTAACCCCGGGGTTGAAGTTTTGGAAGTGGCTATGCATCTAACTTAGCAGAAGAGAGAATTTGGAAAACCTTGTCAAGCAGTTTCAGATGTAAGATCTTTGTCCTCTAACCCCAAGATTGAAGTTTTGAAAGTGGCTATGCATCTAACTTAGCAGAAGTACGCCATGGATCTTCTAAGCTGTCATGGACTTTATCTGCTGGGTTACGGGTGGGCATCATCCTCATCCCTTCTTTAATAAAGCACAAGATGGTTTTTCCCAGTAGCTTCCTAGCTGGACCATCTTGACACCTAAGCTCCTCCCCTCAATAAACGTGGCAAGTTAAAGGAAAAGAATTACAAACTTCTTTATCAGAGGCCACAACCTAGTTGAAAGCATGAGTAAAAACATGCTGAGATAAGTGCTAATGACGAGAACACAAAGGAAAATTGGAAGCGGGAATGAGAATGGTAAAGAGAGGGACTTTTGAGAGAGAGTGCCATCCTTGTCACGAGAACAGTAGGTATAATTTTTAGTCCCCTGGCATCATGAAGGAATGTGTTTGGATGCCTACCAATTAACCACAAGCATCTGTTACAGGCATTGTGAACAGCATATTCTATCTTTCTTTTTTTTTTTTTTTGCTTCTTCCATTTTTTGCGACATATCTCAGAAAGGTATGAAACACTTGGATGCGTTGTAAAATTGCTTATCTATCACAGAAATTTCACTCGTCTTAATAGCAAAATTTCTTATATATCTGCTGTTGATCATATTACTTACCTCTGGTTTCTATAAGTCATATTCATTTTTGTTCTGTTATCACTTCCATTTTTCAGGATATTGAAGCTACAATTCATTGTGCAGAATGGCTCTCGATTGTGGGTGGTTCAAGTACCGGGGATCATCGAGTGAGGTACCATATCACAAACCCTTTTTCTTTTTTGAACATTGAAAACACCTTTTCTATTTCAAAATAATAGCTTGATCGTTGGATCTCCTCCATGAAAAATCCTCGCTCTGAAAGAAAAGTGAATGGTTTCAGATTGATTATTTTCCAGATCTGTTGAACTATCTTCACTTCGATTGTTGATAGTCACATCATAAGTGCATTTTTGTGCCTGCGAGGAAGAATACTAGATATACTCTTCTACGTTGAGCTGATACAAAAGCTGGGCCTTAATTATCAAATAAAAGATTATAAATATGTGAATCACATCCACATGATAAACCCTCTTTCTCACTTTGACCTCTCTAAGTCTGCAAACTGAAGTATGGTCACCTCTTGTCCTGAAGCCGAGAACTTCTACGGCCAAGATTATGAGTCTGACAAATTGAATGATCACATAAACAAGCCTTTTGCCTCCAATTTGCAACTTAGAACATATAAATTGAATGATCCACTAGCTGGTTTGGCATGATCAATGAAACATGTGGAATTTGACCAGCATCTTATTTAGGAGAAGCTAGGAATTAGGTAGACTTATATGCCACTTTTCTTTCTAACCAACATTTAACAGATGCTGTTAGTAGAAAAGACAATAAGTTTTTATTTTTATTTTAAAAATAAATTTTCGGTTTCTGTTCCCTACACACATGCATATTAAAGAACTTAGTCACAAGCTTTCTCTTTGATGTTGCATTAGCTGTCGCTACCATAAAGCATCCACATTCTTTTTGATCTCTCAGAAGTTTCATAAAATGGAGTTTCCAGAGATCCCCAATTTGAAGATTAAGAGTGTTTGAATTGAAACTAAAAGTTCTTTACGAGGAGTTTTTATTCAATTAGGAGTATATGGTTTTTTCCACTTCATGTGTCTGCTTTACAGAACACTTCTCCGTGCCTTTAAAATTTGCAGTGAAGAAAGTTTAGTTATCTGTCAAAATTTTCCCTTCCCCCCACTTCCATTCAGTATTATTTTTTGTTTTGACAGCAGGTGTTTCTGCTTGGTGTTTGGATTTTAGTGCATTTAATGTCTAGTAATAATCATAGCTTCTTTCTGGCAAGTTATGCAGAAGTTTTTTTTCCCTTCCATTATCTGCCTTCACATAAATTTGACAATAGTTTCTGTCGCTTATTTTTATTTTTATTTTTATTGCAACTTTCATCTTTTTTGTGCAAATCTCTTCTTATTTGAAGACGCGAAGAATCATTGCCGATATTTAAAAGAAGGTTATTGGGTGCTTTGCTGGACTTTTCTGGGAGGGAATTGCAGGCTCAGGTAGCTCTCTTTCTTGGAGGTTTCCTCAGTTCGAAACATGCAATAATCTGATGTGGTGTCACAACATTCATTCTTATCCCTGTTTGGTTTTTAAGTATGATATGTGCCGTCCCTATCTTCATCATGCTATTAACCAAAGTTCAGCAAAGCTGAATCATTTGAATTATTTTAAATCATTAGAAGAAAAATGTTGAATTTCTGTTTATGCTTCATTCTTTCTTCTTTTGTAGTTAATTCCTTTGCATTTTAGCCTACTAATCTCTCACATCTGCCAAATATCTCAACCTGTTCAGTAGGAGGATGCGTAATTTTAGGCTCTCTTACTTTTCTCTGTTCTTTTGTACAATTTATCATAATATTAGTTTATTACTGGCAGACTCAAGTTATTGCTGCAGCAGCTGCTGGTGTGGCAGCTGAGGGGTTATCACCAAAAGATGCTAAAGCTGAAGCAGAAAATGCTGCGCAGCTTTCTGTATCTTTGGTGGAAAATGCCATTGTGATATTGATGCTTGTTGAGGATCATTTGCGGTTACAGAGTAAATTATCAAGTGCTTCAAGTGTTGGAGATGGTTATACATCTCCTCTTTCACTAGTGTCTCCGCTGAATAACCGCGCAAATTCTTTGACCAGTATTGGTGGCAAAGAGCCACAAGAACCTGCGAGTATCCGTGGATCAATATCTAGTGCGCCTAGTGGACTCCCTATTGATGTATGTCTAAGTTTCTTTATTAACTTTAAAGGCAGACATCTAAATAGTATTTACTATCTATTCTTCTTTAAAGTATGTTACGTTCCTATTATTATAATTATAATTTTTTATTTTTATCATTTTGGCCAATTCTGTTGTATTCAAGTTAGCCGCTTGAACATATGTTTTTTTTTATCCTTCTTGTCGCTGTCCTCCAATTTCCGAGTAGTGGACTACAAAAGAGGGATCCCTGGGTAAAAAAGTGTGTGTTTTCTTGAGCATTGTTAATTTATCTTTAGACAAGCTGGCAAGTTTATGAAATGAACTGTATATTTATTCTTTTCATTGTTTCTTCCTTGGTAGACTAAGATTCTTTGAATTGATGTTGGTATTGTTTGAGTCAGGTCCTTGCTTCAATGGCCGATGCAAATGGGCAAATTTCTTCTGTGGTGATGGAGCGTCTCACTGCAGCAGCAGCAGCCGAACCTTATGAATCTGTTTCATGTGCTTTTGTATCTTATGGTAGCTATGCAACAGACTTATCTGAGGGTTGGAAGTATAGGAGTCGGTTATGGTATGGTGTTGGTCTTCCTTCAGATAATACTCTCTTGGGTGGTGGGGGCAGTGGATGGGAATCTTGGAGGTATTTGGAAAAAGATTCTAGTGGGAACTGGATCGAACTTCCTCTGATAAAGAAATCTGTGGCCATGCTCCAAGCTTTACTCTTGGATGAATCAGGACTCGGAGGTGGCCTTGGAATAGGTGGAGGATCAGGTACTGGAATGGGGGGTATGTCTGCACTTTACCAGTTGTTAGATAGTGACCAACCATTCTTATGCATGCTCCGAATGGTGCTTCTTTCAATGAGGGAGGATGATGATGGTGAAAATGGTATACTCATGAGAAATATAAGCTTCGATGATGGAATTCCAGAAGGAAGAAAACCACGGTCAGCTTTACTTTGGAGGTATAAATACAGAATGCTTTCTTAGGAGCATGTTGGTAAATTTCAGCTTATGCAATTTAAATGGGGAATTTGAGATGGATTAGGTGAAGATAGTTTTGGATCAATATGACACAAATAACTCAAATGTTGAATTATTTTATAATACAAAAAATTCTCAACGTGAATGACCAATATCTCCTAGACCCACTCTTGTAAGTTAATTAAAGCAAAGACAATCTGACAGTTCCCACTTCTCTAATTATTTTCAATTAGTGGTGGATTGTGTAGTGTAAAATAGTTGGTATGAAGTTTTAAGGTCTTTTCTCTATTAAGAATATTTTCTCTTATCCAGAACATATTTCAGGGTTATAATTAGCCTCACCACTGCAATCTTTTTATCTAGTGCTTTTTCCTTCAGAATGATGAATCTAACTGACATTATTTGTGGCCAGTGTGCTTTCACCTGTTCTTAACATGCCAATTTCTGATTCCAAGAGGCAGAGAGTGTTGGTTGCTTCTTGTGTCCTCTATTCTGAGGTTAGTGATGAGAATAATTATTCTTCGAGGTTTAGTTTTACTCATTTTGTCTGCATCTTTTGCAATATTTAGTTATTATTGCTTGACCAAGAATTCGTGATGGAAATATTTGATTGCTTGGTTTTGTATTTTTCTTCTTTTTCAATAATTTCTCTATTACATTGCCTTGTTTAAATTTTTATCTTACAGGTTTGGCATTCAGTGAGCAAAGATAGAAATCCTCTTCGAAAACAGTACCTTGAGGCTATTTTACCTCCGTTTGTTGCCATTTTGAGGAGATGGCGCCCTTTATTGGCTGGAATTCATGAGCTCGCCACCGCAGATGGTTTGAATCCTCTAACTGTTGATGACCGGGCATTGGCTGCTGATGCCCTGCCAATAGAGGTATTCAGAACATTTTTAGTGATAACAGTCTTAAGATGTTACGTACCTTGTTTCTTTCAGAACAAAGAGAAATTCTTTCAATGAAATGCTACCAATTTCAACGTTTTCCAATTTTTCTTCTGAAATTCCGTTCTCTGTGGGAATATCTAATTGTGGCTCTTCAAGCTAGATGCCTCATTTGAACCATTTTACTTGTGTTTGGAAAAAAAAAAAAAAAAAGAAAAAGAAAAAGAAAAAGAAAACTAGAGAATGCAAAGGAGTAGACTGTTGTTTCGTAGAATATGCTCCCTTGCCCCTGGTCCTAGTAACATTCTCTTAAGCTTTTTAAGAACAATTTGTTCCATTATCTATACATTTGTGCCCGAGGTTTTCTTTTATTCATGCGTTTCATTAAAAAATTAGTAAATAAACACGTGTTATTCATCTTTACCCTTCTATTTTATGTGGTTTTTTTTTTTTTTTTTTTTTTTTTTTTTTTTTTTTTTTTTTTTTTTTTTTTTTTTTTTTTTTTTTTTTTTTTTTTTTTTTTTTTTGTCGTCGTCGTCGTCTTTCTTTAAGTATATATATACGGGAATTATGGCTTCTTTTAGAAACATTTATTATTTTGTTAAAAAATATATGGAACTGCAAGATTGAGAAATTTCTGGATGGTTATCTGTGTAAGAATTGGTTGTGAAGACCCCTGAAACTTAAGCTGCACTTAGTTAGGGTTGAGAATGAACGCCAAAGTAAGCCTTTTAGGAAAGTTAGATATAATTTAGGAGTTGATTAGATTAACGTACTGTCTTGTTAGACTTTCCTCTTTGCATTTTATGTGTCAGAACCTTTAGTTGGATTTTAATGAAGAAATATTTGAGTTCTATGTATTTTTTTAGTTAGCCTTTAGTTGGCAAGTTCCCGAGATTTTCAGAATGTATTCATTGGTCAAAACATAGATACACCAATTATTTTTCCCTCCAGTGCTAATGATAAACAATCTTATCATTCTTTCGAGTGATCTTTTTGTTTGCTATACTTGACCTATGCAAGAGAGTATTTTCTTCTTTTCATATATTAACATGTTTGATTATTTTCATTTTATCACTAGTAGTTTTCTTTTCCCCACTCAGGAGTCGGGGCATGAAAAACTATTATTATTTGTTCTGTTATTGTTTGAGTTTTTCTAGTGTTTACTAAATGAGATTTCATTGCAAATAGGGATGTAACGAGAGCAATTCTCTTTGGCTTTTCATGGAATTTATTCTGATTTGATATCACTTCATGTTGTCATAATCTCATTTCATTTCTGTCAGGCTGCTCTTGCCATGATCGCTCCAGCATGGGCTGCTGCATTTGCATCGCCCCCAGCGGCCATGGCATTAGCAATGATTGCTGCTGGTGCCTCTGGTGGGGAAACTACAGCTCCTGTCACAACATCACAACTACGGCGTGACAGTTCCTTGCTTGAGAGGAAAACAACTAGGCTCCATACATTTTCCAGCTTTCAAAAACCGTTGGAGATGCCGAACAGAGCACCTTCTTTACCGAAGGACAAGGCTGCGGCAAAAGCAGCTGCCTTGGCAGCTGCACGTGATTTGGAGCGTAATGCAAAGATTGGTTCAGGAAGGGGTCTCAGTGCTGTGGCCATGGCCACATCAGCACAGAGGAGAAATGCTAGTGACAGGGACCGTGTAAAGCGATGGAATAATTCTGAAGCTATGGCAGTTGCCTGGATGGAATGTTTGCAACCATTTGACACAAAATCAGTATACGGGAAGGATTTTAATGCTTTATCTTATAAATTCATTGCTGTCCTTGTAGCAAGTTTTGCTTTAGCAAGGAACATCCAGCGATCTGAGGTCAATATCATTTCTCTACTTCTCTCTTCCTCTTTCTGGTTTTGTCCCTGGGTACAATGGCTTTGTTTATGTTTTTGATTCTCCAGGTTGATAGGCGAGCTCAAGTTGATGTTATTGATCATCATCGCATGTGCAAAGGAATTCGTGCATGGAGGAAATTAGTACATTACTTAATAGAAATGAGATGTCTCTTTGGTCCAATTGGGGAACAGTTTCCCAAACCTTCACGTGTATGTTATGAGATGTTTTTCCAAGTGAAGCTTAATATTTTACATTTTACTGCATTCATACTGATCTTAGGGACCATGCCTTGTCTTTAGCTACAACTTTTTTGGACTGCATTTGTCACTGATGCTTAAATATTGATTTAGGTTTTCTGGAAGCTAGACTTGATGGAAAGTTCTTCCAGGATGAGGCGATGTTTGAGGAGGAATTACAGAGGGTCCGATCATTGTGGTGCTGCTGCAAATTATGAGGATCAAATTGACTTGAAGAAAGATCGGGAAGATGCATTGAGCTCATCAAATGCCTCTATATTAGCAGCAGATGCAATAGCTATAGAGGCAGTGAACGATGATGATGTACAAATGGAAATTGATAGTTTAGATGGTAGGGCCGATGATGTAGAACAAAGTGTTGTGAACTCAAAGTTGACTGAAACATCTGAGCAGAACCTCCAGGCGTCTGCAGAGTCTAGTAATACACAACTTGTCAATGACCAAGAGTTAATTCAGGGTTCATCACCAGTTGCGCCAGGGTATGTTCCTAGCGAGCTTGATGAAAGAATTATTCTTGAGCTTCCTTCAACAATGGTCCGGCCACTAAAGGTTATACAAGGAACCTTCCAGGTGAGGTCCTAGTTTGAAATTCTTATGGTCTCATTTCTTTCACAGCTTATGAGAATTTTTACCATAGGCATATAAACACTGTTTGTTTTTGTAGTTTTAACTTTTAAAACTTGGGTAATAATTATCCGTGGATAAAAAACGTGCTTCAATTATTCTACCAGAAAGTGAGATTTTAGTTCAGAGAGTTGAGTAGTAAACAGGAGTGAGATATGGACTAACTAGTTTTAATTCTTAATTTACATTAGTTTTGATTAGTTAATTAATTATTTAATATCGACATTTGGACAAAGTAATGCTAATACATTATTTTCTAGTAATTAACTTAAATTTAAGAGATTTCATTTGGATGGTGGCAAAGTTAAGAATATTAGTCGTTTAGTTAATTGAGGAGTCATGCCTTACCATTGGAAAAAGGAGGCGTTGTAGTTTGGAATGTGAGAAGGTGGAATAGCGCATTGCTTGCGAAGTGGCTTTGGAAGGTTCCCTAAGAAAAATGGGAACTTTGAGTTGATATTACTGTTAGTTACCGCATGGAGAAACCTGGTAGGTTCATTAAAGGAAGAGAAGTTCTTGCAACTTGTGGAAGACTATTTCAAAACTTTCTCCATTTGTTTTCATTGTTTCTCAATTATAGTGTTGGAAATGGGGAGAAAACTTTATTTTGGAATGACAAATGGGTGAGATTACATCCTCATGTGCACTCTTTTCCTAAAATATTTGTGTTAAGGTTCAAGATAAAGAAGTTTTGGTGAAAACATTTGGGATGAGAAGAGAGCTAGTTTCAAGCATTTGGGATGGGAATTGAGATAGTTACCTAAATTTTTTGGGTAACTTTTTGTTGAGTTTCTTTACCGTTTAAGCCTTATTGAGAAATATAATGGGGGAAAGGGTGTCAAATTTAGAAGAAATTTGCCAAACTGAGTATGGCTTAACTAGTTAAGGCATATGTCATCTATCAAAGATGATAAGTTTGGATCTCCCGCCCCTAGATGTCGTTCTCAAAAGAAACTTCAAAAGAAATTTGCTAGGCAAGGTCTTCCATGGTTTAGAATGAGAACTTTAAAGCTATAGTTCAGCTCATGATCAGAAAATCTAATATAAGGATGAAGGTTTATTTACTCTATTGAGCAAGAGATCTTATCTCGGAGTTTGAAGAGGCCACTGAAAATTTTGTTATTAGGTTTGGTGGTTGCACCAACGAGCCAAATTACATGCTCCATCCGATGCATCCTAATCTAATTTCATAGAATTTGTCTACAAAATGATTTTCTACTTTTAGTTTTTTCTTCCCGCACTACCCATGTTATAAGTTATCGTTGTCCTATTATAACTTACAAGTTATCCATTCTTGTTTAAGCTTAAAGGACATTTCATGCTTGCAGGTCACAACAAGGAGAATCAATTTTATAGTTGATAGCAATGATCTCAATACAACAATGGATTCCAGCTGTAAACCAAAAGAAGACCAGGAAAAGGACAGGACCTGGATGATGTCTTCCCTCCATCAGATTCATAGTCGAAGGTGAAGTTAGGACAGTCTTATCATACTCTATATTTAGTTTCTCTCTCCTTGGTTTGAATTTCTTTAAGCAATTCTTTGATATAGAACTCTTCCAAGTTTTAAGAAAAAATTACTAAATTTCTCCGAATTATTTTGGTAGGTACAGTCTAGTCCTTCAATTCTTAATTTGATCAATTATTTGGCATGTCATCCGTAGCATTAAATTCTCCACGCTTCCACTAAATTACTATGTGCTCCAATATAAGTGCTTGTTTTCATAGATCCTTTAATTCATCTCCATCCATAATTATGAAAGTAAAGAAAGATCTTTTGATTCCTCTCCAACCATAATTATGAAAGTAAAGAAATATCCTTTGATTCCTCTCCAACCAGAATTATGAAAGTAAAGAAAGATCCTTACATTCCTCTCCAGCCACAATTATGAAAGTAAAGCTTCAACTGCGTGCACCCATAATGATCTTGAGATACGAGCTGTAGAAAACTCAATAAAAAAGTTGAAGAACATTGCCCTTTGAAAAACCACTGAACCGGCATTCCAAATAAAATATGCAGAAATCCTCCCATCCTCACAGCTAAGAGGGGGGAGAGCACAAGAGAACAAGCTGGGAGCTTTCTTTGAATTTGAATTTGCTTCCTAAGTACTGAGGCTGAACATAATCCATATAAGATAGTAATTCTCTCAGGGTTTTTTAACTTCCGTAAAGCTGAAAACACTTGTTTTTGTATAAGAGAAGAGGCTGCCAAATGTCTTGTTAATGATTTGACTGAAAGTTCTCCTGGAGGATCTAATATCCACTTCCTTGAAACCTTGAAGGACCCATCTTAACAGCATAAAGCCCTTCCAATAATAATTGTTTGGAGACTCGTGAATTATACAAAATAGCATCCCATTCTTTTGATACGAAGAATCTATCAAGCAAGGAATGATATGCATCTATTCCAATTCTTGACCAAGTAAACTTGCCATGAGAAAGAATAATTTCCACAAGGCGGAGACCTTCAATTTCCAAACTTGGTCCTTTATCTATGGCTATAATCTTGATGTCAACCAGTGCAACATGTACATGTAGTTAGATATTTAATCGACACACTTATTGGTTTTAATTTCAATTGGAAGTACATTTTGTGGAAATATACCTGTATTCTGGGATCATTGAATTGTAGGGAAATCAAGAATTTTTTAGAGAAATTTTTTCTTTTCAATCCATAAGATACTATTTTTACCCTATCTTTTAAATGGTATTATTGTTTAGAGAATTTTTTTCATCGTACTCACACTTGTTGGATAGCTTATTATTATTATTATTTAGTTTAGTTTGAGGGGAAGTTCCTTATTTTTGCCCTTCTACTTTTATAACTTGACGAGCCAACTTGACATGAACCTGATGCATCATCCTAAACAAACACAGTTGGTGGAGTTGGTGTAGTCTGTAGCTGGATAATACGAATGCTGTTGTTTAGAAATCTAACAAGTTTCATATTGAATTTCAATGTACATTTTTTAACGATAACAACGGTTGGAATAACAATTTCAGTACGAAAAAGTTGGTAGCCTTACCTACAGTGCTGCGTTTATTTCATATCACTCTCTTCTCAGAAGCTTGACATCTACCTTGAGACTTATTTTATAACCGTGCTTTATTATATTTTCTTAACAGTATTCTACTTTCCTGTTTCAGGTATCTCCTAAGAAGAAGTGCTCTTGAACTGTTTATGGTTGATAGATCAAACTACTTTTTTGATTTCGGGGTAGACTCTACATGCCTTTATTTGCATTTCCTTTTTTTTTTTTTTTTTTTTCCCTGTTTGCTCCTCTGCCCCCATCACCTTTCAGTGGAATCTGACTGATAATTTTTTCCTGTATGTCCTTTTCTGCTATTAAGAGTACTGAGGGACGGAAAAATGCGTATAGAGCAATTGTTCAAGTGCGACCTCCTCATCTGAATGATGTATATCTAGCAACTCAGGTTCATATCTCAGTTCTTATAACTTCGGCTAAGTTTCTGCATCTATGTGTGCAGTGTGTTACATTGACTATTGTACAGATAAATCATTCTCTCCTGGCACTACTGCAATGGCTGTAGCATGCATCTTACATAAAATTCAACAGATATTTCAAATTTTTACACGTTTTTTCTGATCCAATATTTTAATCGATATCATGTCTAATTACCAGATTCCTAATAAAAGAACTGTTTCATGATATCAATCAATATGATCTCAGTACACGTGACTGACATGTGAGGAATCTGATCAGATGATTGGTGGTTGGTCTTGTATCATGAGTGTTCACAGATAGAATAAAGATGAAGAACTTTATCTGCTTTACTTTCTGTATTACAGTAGTTATGATTCATTTACATTTTGTAGAGGCCCGAACAACTTCTCAAGAGAACTCAGCTTATGGAGCGCTGGGCTAGATGGGAGGTATGACTTAAGTTGGAATAACCATCATATCATGATGGTTTTTGTTTTTATATTTTTTAAGGAAACAGCTTTTATGTTTGGATCCCACAAGTTGAACGTGCATGTTAAAGATAGCTAAAAAATCGGTATCTTTTGCAGATCAGCAATTTTGAATATCTAATGCATCTCAATACCCTGGCTGGGCGTAGTTATAATGACATTACCCAGGTAGGTCATTTGGACAATTTTCTTGTTTTGTGGATATATATATATTATATATATTTATATGTATGTACACATATATTGCACTAAAAATTGCTTTCTTTCAGTATCCAGTTTTCCCATGGGTTCTTTCTGATTATAGTTCAGAGAGTTTAGATCTTTCTGATTCTTCCTCGTTCAGAGATCTTTCTAAGGTTCTCTCCTTCAAACTCTTCTGTTCATTCTTTTTCAACGTTGGAAGGCTGTCTATTTAACCATGAAGCCTCACTTTTTTTTTGCAGCCTGTCGGTGCACTGAATGCAGATCGCCTTAAAAAGTTCCAAGAGAGATATTCAAGCTTTGAGGATCCAGTAATCCCGAAATTTCATTATGGTTCACATTACTCAAGTGCTGGAACTGTACGTTTTCCATTTCATCACCATTTGGTTCTCTTTGTTTAGCACATTTTGTTTCTAAGTAGTTTTAAACTGCTGACCTGAACATAGCTCAATTGGTCAAGCCATTACTTCCCCTTTTTTGTTGAACTCCAAAAGGAGTTTAAAAACACGTAGTTTGGCCTTCTAGAATCATTTTCTGAAAGACTTGTTTTTTTAAACTTAAATAACAAATTATTTAATGTATCTAGTTCCTTATGTGGAGCCTAAGGGACTATGATGATGCTGGCCTGATATTTCTCTTTTCAAGAAATTAAGAAAATTATTTAAAAATTTTGGATAGAATATTATTAATTTAATTTTCTTTCACAAGTGTATGAGAGAAAGTAGAGACATGTTCTTGCTCTCCCTGTTACTTTTTTTTCTCTGGAATGCGTTTGAGCCTTTATGTTTATTGTTGATTCTTATTATTGATTCCTCGAACACTTGTTTAAATCTGGTTGAAAAAATTTATCAATTTATCAACTTTAGATATTTGCAAAAATATTAGATCAAGTTGGAGTTGCACGGGTATTCAGGAAAAAAAATACCTTTGAAAATTTTTAACTTATTTTGTTTAATTCAATCACAGCTTTATCTTTTCGTTTTTTTTTATAGTGTTAGTTTGTATTTTGTGAATTAGCCTTGTCTCTATTGAGACCCCATTGTATGGTATTGTGCTCTGTTTATTTTGCTATTCTGTATGGTTATGGACAAAGTATTTTCCCCAGTTTTGCTTTACTCCAAAGCCAGTCACTTCGTCTTCTGTGAGTTATTTGTACATCTCTATCAAATCAATTGGATCATACTAATTATATCTGAATTTTTCTTATTTCTCTTGCAGGTGTTGTATTATCTTTTTAGAGTTGAACCATTTACAACTCTCTCAATTCAGTTGCAAGGTGGAAAATTTGATCATGCTGATCGCATGTTTTTAGATATTTCTGGTACTTGGAATGGGGTTCTGGAAGATATGAGTGATGTGAAGGAATTAGTAAGTTCGTCAAGTACGAGTGTTGTTTCTCAGTATATATTGCGTTATTGTTGATCTGTTTTAAGAATTCATCTACTTTTTACATTTATTTCCTGCAGGTTCCAGAGCTTTTTTATCTTCCTGAGATCTTAACAAATGAAAACTCGATTGATTTTGGCACCACTCAATTAGGGGAGAACCTTGGTAATCCTTAATGAGTGTACTTCTCATTGATTATTCTTAAGCCAGTCTGTTTCTTGTTTTGATGTATTTCAACCTGCCAGATTCTGTCAGACTCCCTCCTTGGGCTAAAAATCCAATTGATTTTATTCACAAACATCGGATGGCTCTTGAGAGTGAGCATGTATCAGCACATTTGCATGAGTGGATTGATCTCATTTTTGGGTACGTTGTTTACTTCAATGAAGGTTTTTTTTTTTTTTTTTTTAATTTTATTTTTTAAATCTTGTTTATTGGATGTTTTTTCCTTTGATTTTCAGTGTTTGTAAGTTGGTATAATTGGTAGGGGTAACAATGTCGCGAATTCCTTTTACTTTGTGCTGTTTTTGTTTGATCTGACATCTATAAGGATTTGTTGAATCAGGTATAAGCAACGAGGCAGAGAGGCTATTTTGGCTAATAACGTCTTCTTTTACATTACCTATGAGGGGACGGTTGATATTGACAAAATATCTGACCCTGTATGTTCATCTTCATTACATTTTTATTCCTTCAAATATCAGGATTTATGTTAAATTGTTTTTTCCCCTATTTGAAAAAGGTACAACAACGTGCCACACAAGATCAAATTGCCTACTTTGGTCAAACTCCGTCTCAACTCTTAACTGTGCCTCATTTGAGGAAGAAGCCATTAGCTGATGTCCTCCATCTGCAGGTATAAGCAAATATCATGTTGGTAATTCTGATAATGTACATGCATCTGTTATTCTATGTGTCAGCATACCCTTTTAGAGTTGGGTATACAATCGTGGGAGAGAGAGAGTTCTCTCGAATAATACACATCGACTCTTATCAAACTAGATTCAGGGAAATCATTATTGAGTATGGATCTAGCTATTGGAACATTGTTGGAAATTCACTGTTGGCTGGTAAAAAAAATGTGGTATAATAAATTCCTTGAAAATAGAGACTGCGAAGCTGATTTTTAAAAATCTTTGAAACTAGGCTAATAAAATAATTGGAATCCATCTACCTGGGACATTGGAAGAGGAGGAAAGGGTAGAGCATGGGTAGGTCTTACATCTGTTGACGGGGGTGGGTTCTATCAAATCAAAGTGGGTTGGACAAAAGATATAAGACTGAATGTTGAAAATAACTAATAGGTTTGGGTCATTTGAAGAAACTCGACACAAAATGAATTCTGTCAAAAGGGCTCACAATTTAATCTGCATATTGGAAGTGTCGCATGGTATTGAAAGACATATTAGGTGTGTTTTTTGGGTTGTTGAAGGTGGTGAAAAGAGGACGTGGTCCATTTGGTAGATAACATTTTATAGAAGTGATAATACCAGGCCAAGAAGATATTAAGGTTTCAAATGGTAGGTGGGGCCTACTTGGTTTAAGTTGATGTTAAGTAGCTATAAAAGTATTCCCAAAACCAAAATTTTTATTTTTAAAGCCAGACCACAATAAACAATTCAATCAATTTTCTGGGGTAATATAGGATCAAGTTCTTGGAGGATGCTACTCCAACTAGAGGATGGGTGCAACTGCCTCTGGACTCTATAAAGCTCATAGACAGGAAGTGCCAGTGTCCACTTTCAAAAATGGATTTGGCTGAAAATAGGGAAGTGGTTAACTCTAATAATTGAGAATTGGAAACAAAGGAGAAGAAAGAGCTATGACACTCTGCTTACAACATTCCAAAAGGAGGGGGGGACCTCTCCTCCCATGGCCTTTAGGTTGTATCTTTATTTCTTGGTGTAATCCTTGTTCGTCCTCAGTACAAGGTATTCTATTCTAATGTTTGGGTGACTATGGCTGAAACCTTATTCTATTGCCAGGGAATTTACAATAGAAGAAGAAAGAGATATCCTAAAAACCAAAAACACACTAGAAATCAACATGTGATCCTTTAATATAGCCAAAATAGCAACATCATTGTCCTGAGAATAATTAGTTCATCTGTGTTCGTTGAAGTATATGTTTTCTTGTGGTTAGATCAAGATGTGATGATGTTGCCATATGTGTCAAGTCTGAGATTTCTTTTCCTTAAACCATCACATGGCTTTGTTGTGCATATATGCATCTTAACATGTGAATATTGGGGGGAAGTACCCTTATGCATTAGGGACTCAAAGGATATCAGATCATACTCGTTGGTTTTTTCATGTGAATATTGCAAATTTGCATAGTTAAAACTTTTTTCATGTGACATGTACTCATTGGTTTTAAATAAAATTTTCATATCAGACAATCTTTCGGAACCCAAAGGATATCAGATCATACTCTGTTCCCACCCCAGAACGCTGCAACCTACCTGCAGCTGCAATTCATGCAACTTCAGATACTGTTGTTATTGTTGACATAAATGCACCTGCGGCACATGTAGCACAGCATAAGTGGCAACCCAACACACCTGATGGCCAGGGTGCACCATTCCTCTTTCAACATGGAAAGGCCTCAATGAATTCTACCAGTGGAACATTCATGCGTATGTTCAAAGGGCAGGCTGGCTCTGCTGCCGAGGAGTGGCAATTTCCCCAGGCACCAGCATATGCTGCATCTGGAATCAGGAGCTCGTCTATTGTTTCCATTACTTTGGACAAAGACATTATCACTGGTAAGCATTTATATAATTATCTATCTACGACTTTATCCTTTAATTCTCCTCTTTAAACTTCTCTTCGAAAAAATCCCTTTGAGAAGGAAAAAAGGATCCTTGAGCTTAACATCATTTTGGTTTTTTATGGTCTATATGGTTTGAAAGGAATTCTCGCATCTATACACCTATAAATAACATGATTATAAATCTCACCTCTCTTCGAGTTTATACCTATCTTTATCACTTGAAAATTTACTCCATTTTGTAATCGTAGTTTTTCATCCCATTGAGCTTAATGGAGCAGTTTTTTATACTCCTCTTGATAGGACCTTCACACTTTTTTGTGATTTCTTGATATCAATGTCATTATCGTTCCCTATCAATCCCTAACAAAAGGAGAGAAAAAAAAAAAAAAACTTTCCTAATGGAAATTTTAAGACGAGGAAAAGCTCTACAACAAAAAATGGTCAGGTTAACTTTCTAGTGTTTTCATGTCCAAGTATTTCTTCCCTACAGATTGTAGAGCATAGGTGAAAATTATATCAGTCATAATCTACTTCAATTGCTATGAAAACATCTTCTGTGTGATCTCTACTTCTATAGCTAACTTAAGTTAACCATTACTTTTGAGTTCGAAGATGAAGGATGACGAAGGAATAACTGTTACTGCATAAGTAGCTAATTCCTCGTTCAGGACATATTTTCATATGATTATTCAAAGGCATGCATATATGATTAGTTTTATACTCGTCTTTGTATTCTCTATAATAGTTTACCTAGCTCCTATTTTTTTCTTTGGAAATAGGCGGACATGTTGACAATAGTGTGAAGCTAATATCATCAGATAGAGGAAGAACATTGGAAACTGCGTATGGGCACTGTGCACCGGTAACCTGTGTCAGTGTTTCTCATGATAGCAATTATCTAGTCACCGGATCCCGTGACACCACTTTGCTAATTTGGAGATTACATAGATTGTCAACCAGTCGTTCAAGTGCCGTGTCAGAAACTGCCATGGGGACAGACATGTCCACATCAGGCAGTGGTAGTAATTTATCCTCTATATTGGCAGACAAAAGCCGGAAGCATCGAATTGAGGGTCCCATACATGTTCTTCGGGGTCACCACCGTGAAGTTGTATGCTGCTGTGTGAACTCAGATCTTGGTATTGTTGTTTCATGCTCCCAGTCATCGGATGTTTTGATACATTCCATCAGAAGAGGTCGGTTGATCAGAAGGTTGGCTGGTATAGAGGCCCATGCTGTAAGCCTTTCTTCCGAGGGAGTTATATTGACTTGGAACGAATCACAATGTACTCTTTCAACCTTTACTCTGAATGGAAATCTAATTGCTAGAGCACCATTTCCGTACTCTTCCAGCATCAGTTGTATGGAAATATCTGTTGATGGGGAGAGTGCCTTGATTGGAATAAATTCATCCGCCCAAAACAATAGAACCCCCACTAATAACTGGGAGTTTAAGTCCAAGGATTTCTTCACACCTGATGAAACTTCAGAAGACGAGAGATTAGATGTTCCGGTTCCTTCTGTTTGCTTTTTGAATCTGCATACTTTGAAGGTATTATTAAATTGAAATAAGTAGCTCTACCTAATTTCTGTCCTCAGCTTTTCCACTTTATATGACTGCCATAACACACTTTTCCAATATGATTTGATGCACGTACCTTTATCCTACAGGTTTTCCATACTCTGCAACTCAAAGAAGGGCAGGATATCACTGCGCTGGCATTAAATAAAGACAACACAAATCTTTTGGTGTCAACTGCAGATATGCAGTTAATAGTCTTCACTGATCCCGCTGTAAGAATCTTCCATATTTCCATGGCTATTTAATAATTCTACCTGATTTTTTCCCCATCTTTTAATACAATTTCTCGGGACCATGTGAAGTGAACATTGTAGTCAATACATTATGAGAAAACAGTACAATTGTTAAAAGCAGAAAACTAAAAACAATATCGCTATCAAACAGATTAACCTACCTGTGTAACTTTATGAAAACGAGTGTAGATTATTATCTTTTAAAATCCCATCTTGGTTTGACACTTCTTATCATTGTTCTGTTCAGTTGAGCTTGAAAGTCGTAGATCAAATGCTGAAGATTGGCTGGGAAGGTGAGGGACTCAGCCCTCTTATAAAATCGTAGCCTTCTGCGGCAACAAAAGAGTTCAATACTTGTATAGCTGGTGGACAAATTCTGCATCATATATATTTGCTAGCACTGAAACGTCGATGGATATATCTTGTTGCTCTTTTTTTTTTTTTCTCTCAAGCACGGAGTGGAAGGAGATCTAAAGCCGAGGCCCTATGCTCGATAGGTTTGCCTCTTTAATTTCATGCTATATAGAGATATCACGTCGTCGTCGTTGCTATTGAGATGTAACTCCAGTCCTCACACTTGCTGTCCAAAATCTGGCCCTTTGTCGGTTACACGTTGTAAAATATGTGATAGACTAGCCCCAAATCTTATGAATATACATTAGCTTCTAGATACTAGAATGTTACATGCGGGGCCATTCTTTATGGGATCAAGTTGTACGTATGTCACTATTTGTTGAAATTGTGAGGCCTTAGGCACTGGGCTTGAGATTGAGCTTTCCAGTTTTGTCCATTCTTCATTTGAGAAGTAAATGACCAAGAGCTCTTCCATTATTTGTATATTCTATTCTATTATGTTACTAACTCTTACATGTCAGCCAAATTTTTAAAGGGCCAAATCCTGGGTATGCTAATGTGACGCTGCTACTTCTCCAAAGCAGGGTGCAATTATAATTTAAGCTTCGGCTTGCAAAGAAAAGGAAAACAAAGAGCAGCAATTCCATTATTTTCCACCCAACTTGGGTGTGTTCATAATGAGCCTTCACTATTTTTGCTGACTAATTGGCCAAGAAGTACTTTTATGACACTATTGAAACTATACTGTCGGTTCAATAATACAGAGTACAGTAAATATAGATTAAAATTTCGACTCCACGACCATTACAAACATGATATCCATCTTATTTTAGAGGTTAAAAAAGGAAAAGAAATGAGGTGCCAAAGTTGATAATACCTTGGAGGTTTAGGAATTGAAGTGGTCGGGAGATCTAGGAGTGGCACAAACTTGCAGGCCTCCTTTTATGAGAAGATTGATCATTGGTTGATATTTCACAATTTTCTCCTCATCACTCATTTTGAACTTAAAACTGCCCACTAATACAGATAGCATAATCTTTATCTGCCTGTAAGCAAACTCTTTTCCCATGCAAATGCGTGGCCCAGCCTGTACATTATGACAATCAGGTGTGTTTTGGAGTGAATTTAACTATTTCAAAATCACTTTGAAAGAGGAAAAAAACACGATAATCATTCGTAAGTATTTGTGTTCCATGGATCTCACATACCTGAAAGGCTGTAAATTTGAAAGGGCTCTGAGGCTGGACGTTTCCATCTCCATCTAACCATCTCTCTGGTCGAAATTCCTCGGCATCATCACCCCATATGAATTTCATCCTACCCATTGCATATGGCTGGTACGACACCATATCTCCTTTCCTTACACTGAATCCATCTGGTAGTGTATCATCAGAAAAGCAAATCTTCGCATCCTGCAATTCGATCCATTCGTTCAGCCAAGAACTTACAACACTTGCTCAATTTGGTGATTTAATACACTATAAGTGTAAAAGATCTCTTGTCATGTTATTTTCTCGCCTAATTAATATCGATAATCACGTAAAGACGGTAGCCCGTTCATAGCATTTCAACAAATGGTTATAAGTGACTATGAGAATTAAAAAAACACAAAGATGATCAGAAAGAGAACTAATTAAGTGCTTTCACTCCCATCAAAAGAGCAGTATTCAAAGTCAATTGCCATAGCCTACACATTATTTGAAGAGGTAAACTGTTAAGTCAGTGCAATTACTTGAGAGTTATTTGATGAATTAAGCAATGACTATGTTCAAATTTAAGGAGGAAATGCCTTACCACTGGAACAGCAGGATAGAGTCTCAGAGTTTCATTAATAGTTGCAGTAAGAAACTGCATCTTCTCTAGAGATTCTTCAGTCAATCTTGCAGCAAACTCTGCAAAATCGGTAACGTCTTCAACGTTCGTCACTTCCTCAATCTCTTTAGCAACTCTTTCCTGCACTGCTGGATGCTTGCAAAGCATGTAAATGAACCAAGCAAGGGTAACTGCTGTTGTGTCCTTTCCAGCTATGACAAAATTAAGAATAATATCTCTTAGATACTTCGGATCGGTTGTTTCCGCTTGCAGAAACCTCGAAACTATGTTCTCTCTTCTCATCTAAATTCACATACCACAGAAGAATCAGTGTCATGTTCCATATATAAGTTTAAAAGAAAAACAAACATACAAATTCATCTACCGAAGTTTTGTCGCCTAACTTTTGTCTTTGTTCGAGTGCGTTGTGAATGAGCTTATATATGTACTCATCAACAATCTTTATGTTTTCTTTTAAGGTAGCTTCTGACCCAATATTCAGAATCTTCTTGAGTGGCCAAGCTACATCAACATATCGCCATAGTGTCATTGTACTTGATGCTTCAAAAGCATTGCAAAACTTGCCCGTTTCTTCATTTACTCCATGCAAGCTATCTAGATCAATTCCAAATGAGACATGGAATATTGAATCTAGGGTTGATTTCATAAACAGATCCTGCAAACAAGTAATTGAATGAGTTTAAAGCTGACCCGTGTTTGAAATCATTAGCAGATTGTTGACTTACTTGAATATCAATTGCTTGACCCGAAGTAGAAGCTTTGGACACGATCTTAGCTAGCTTAACTGCAGATCTCCGAAAGATGACACTGCTATATTCCCTTAGAACTCTTGTAGAGAACTCATAGCTTGAAATTTTTCTCTGCTGACGCCACTTCTCTCCATCAACCGTGAAAATTCCATCACCAAGAAGATCCCTGAGAATTCTGTGGTTATGTGACCCCTAAATAGAATGGTGCAGAACTCAGTCAAAATCATGGTCCTTGAAGAACATCATGTTTGAAGCATCAACAATACAAAAGGGAGAAAAAATGATGTCACAACTTCAAGCACAAAACCTCTAGTTCGATACTATGTTAAATCACCACTAAATTCAAAAGCTCCCTCCATTATTTGAAATTTTACCTGTCTAGCTAGGATGAAAACCTCATTCCTTGGTAAATGCAATGTCCATACAGGGATTCCAACTATTGTAACCCAAAAAGAACAAAAAAGGGTTTAGAAACAGAGAGATACCTTGCCAAAATTCTCGAAGTTGGTTCTAAGCATATACTCCACATTTGGTGGGTCAGAAGTATAAATCTCATTCCTGAAGGGCCCAAGAAGCCTATACGTTTTATGCTTTCGAGCGAGATCAGTCATGTAATCATGCAGCCGGTGGAAATTGAGGAGCTGGTGAAAGACAGTGCCTGCAATTGGATGATATTTCTTCTTCCTCAGCTTTCGGGCTAGAATCTGCCGAACAACAATGGAAATCAGCAGCAATAAAGCTGCAACTGAAATGGGGTTTGACAGAAATTTCGCAGCAACCATGGTAGCCACTGAACAAATCATTCAGCTGTGGAAATGAATGCCTTCAGTGCTTGGCCAATTTAATAGGAAGCTCGAAAGATTTTCCAGTAGACAGTAGCACACGGAAATTAAAATTTAAAAAAAAAAAAAAACAGCTAAATACTATTATTTTTAGTCAGCTTTTATTTCTAAATTTTTAAGGTTATACTCCATTTTATCCTATGATATTTTTGAAAAGGGTTAGTTGAACATAAAATTTGATCAATTAATTCAAATGCCTTAAAAGTCAATTAATGTATATGATTCCATTGGAGAGTACTAAAGATAATGCCAACTCCCATCCATGGGAGAGTACTAATTTTTTTTCAAATGTAGCTATAAATTTATGTAAAAGGATTTTTATTGTGAGTAAAATTTATGCTTAAAATTTGTAAATAGGATATAATATAATCACTTTTTAAAAATATGCAACTAAAACGAACCAAATAAGTATAAAATTCAAAATAATATTTTATACAAAAATACCCCTGATCAAAGTAAAACCTGATAAAGTAGCAATTAATTTTTCCAATAAAATACCATGAAACAATACAGATAGGAAGCACGTGTCATTAATGACGGCAGCTAACTTATCTGGCAAAAAAAAAACCTAATTTTAAAACTTTCAATAATGTTTGAACTAAAAGAAAATTATTAAATATGAGAACGCTAAATAAAATAAAAATATATTTCAATTTTGTAAGCAATGGCTTAAAGGTAAATATAAGAAGTTTCCTTGCCACTCAAATAGTGAATTACTTGATCTTGGGTTGAAAAAGAACCCATTTGAAAACCATTTATATTGGACTATTCCATTTTGTCATCTCACCGAACCCAATAATTGTTCTTCGAAAATCAACCACCAACCACCAACCAAGCATTCACCTTTTTCTCCATCTTCAATGGCGGAATCCCTCTCTGCAACTGCGACAGCCTCCATTATTGACCCCTTCGAGCATCTCAACATCAAGCTCAACCCAGACGGCTCAATAACCAGACACAACCAATTACCCACAGTACCCCCAACAGAAACCCCCACTCCCAACACCAATAATCTTTCTACATGTTGTTCTAAAGACATTCCCCTAAACCCTTCCAACAACACCTTCATCCGCCTCTTCAAGCCCCACAACATCCCCCAAAATCCCACCAATAAACTTCCCATTTTGATCGACGCCCATGGCGGCGGATTCATTTTATTCAGCGCAGCTACACAGCTATTTCACGAAACGTGTTGTCGCCTTTCTGCTCATCTTCCAGCCCTCATCGTATCCTTTGAGTACCGCCTCGCCCCCGAACACCGTCTCCCGGCGGCCTACGATGACGCCCTCGAAGCCCTCCGTTGGCTTTGCCGCCAGGCCAATCAAATCCACGGTGGCGATTGCGACCCGTGGTTAAAAGATTGTGCCGACTTTTCGCGGTGTTTTTTGCTCGGCACTAGCGCCGGCGGGAACATCACGTTCTATGCAGCTTTGCGAGCACTGGATTCCGATCTCTCGCCGGTTAAAATCGTGGGGCATATTTATAATCAGCCGTTTTTCGGTGGGATTAAACGGACAGAATCAGAGCTCCGGTGCGTGAACGATCGGATCTTGCCGCTGTCGGTGAATGATTTAATGTGGAGTTTGGCGCTACCGGAGGGTTGTGATCGGGATCACTGGTTTTGCGATCCAACGGTGGAGGGTCCGCATCAAGAGAAGATCAGACGGCTGCAGAGGTGCTTGGTGAGAGGGCATGTTGGGGATCCGTTGATTGATAGGCAGAAGGAGTTCGTGAAGCTGCTTGAGGCACGTGGGGTGAAGGTGGATGCCAGATTTCGCGAGGGAGGGTATCATGGCGTTGACCTATTTGATCCTTCCAAACTCCAAATTCTTGAGGATGATGTGAAGGATTTCATCGATGCTTCTTTGGAGTGATGCTTATCCGTTACCCACACAGAAAGCCAATAAAATCTGGTTATGTATCCAAGTTTTTTGTATGGGTGACCAAATAAAATTATATCCACCTTTTCAAATCAGAAATTTCCAACTTATTGTTGCCATCTTTACTCTCACTCAGCTCATTTTCTTGCTCCCTCTACTTGTGACTTCCTTTATCATTCTCTCACCCCTTCAATCATTCGTACCCTTTAATAACAAATTCAGTTCAGGAAGGTAAATCATTCGTACCCTTCAATAAGAAATTCAGTTCAGGAAGGTAAATCATTCGTACCCTTCAATAAGAAATTCAGTTCAGGAAGGTAAGATCTAAATATTTACGGACCTACTGGGCATGCTCAGTGGGAAAGAAATTGTCCAAAGTGGAAACCAACATTTCTTTTATTAGCTAACTAAAAAAAGAAGTCATGGATGAGTGGGGAGTGTTATCTAGTATTTTATTATAGGTAAATATTTCTGATGATTACTTATTTTTATTTATTACTATTTTCATATACTCTTAATTTATTTGAATATAAATGAAAAACTTTAGTCCACTATTTAGTTAGGTTGGTCTTGACAAATATTTTTATGGTAGAGAATTTCTTACTGTTTAGCAACTTCGATCTTTTATTTTCAATGGCTTCTAAATCCCCTCCTATCTTCTTCTCCACCACTCCGGTTGGTTTTTTACCTCCAAATCACCCTTTGCTGTACTTTGTACATACAATCTCACCTTCTCTAACGTAATCAGTTTCTCCTTGGTCAATATAGCCTCTCTCATTTTCTTCCCAATCAACCCTTTATCCTTCGTATAAATCCTAACCTCAGAATTCTCATAAGCGTTCCCATCGAAAATATACAGAATCTCGAGAAACCTATCGACCTTCTACAGAGATTTACCTTTGGAATCTGGACGCTGCATTGGCCTCTTCGCCAACCAACTCTTCCGGCTGCCCTTCTTGCCAAAATTGGCTCCTTTGTCCAATGTCGGCCACTGCTTCAACATTGTCTTTGTTCCTTTAGGTTTCCCCTTCTACTTCTTGGGTTAGATATATTCTTGCCAGCAAAGTCAAAGTAACATAGCTATTCAACCACCAACCCTCTAGGTTACCATTTTTATATACGTATAATTTATTTGATTATAAATAGAGAATTTGTTAAGAGAGGCAGAGGCTGCAGCACTCTGAGAAAAGTAGAATAGTAGAATGGTAGAATGGGACCCGAAGATCAGGCGAACGAGCTTCCTCAAGTGTTGGTTCTAGGTCCGCCTCCGGTATTCCCATATCTGGAATCCCAATTCCCAAACAGATTCCATTTCCTAAAACCATGGCTTTCCAATCTCCCTCTAACCCAATTCCTTATCTCTTATGCCCAATCCGCCACAGCCTTGCTTATCCGAGGCGGTGGAACTGTCCAACTCACATCCGCCATTCTCGACTGCCTGCCCTCGCTCCAGCTCGTGGTCACTGCCAGCGTCGGTGTCGATCACTTGGATTTGCCGGAATTACGCCGGCGTGGGTTGGCTATTGCCTATGCAGGAAATGTGTTCTCTGAAGATGTCGCCGATATGGCGATTGGATTACTAATCGACGTTATTAGGAAAGTATCGGCGGGAGATCGGTTCGTGAGGCAAGGGCTTCGGTCAACGAAAGGGGATTTTCCTCTCGGATTAAAGGTTAGTACTGGCTTTTATTTGATTCCAATTCCGTTC